CTCTTCCTGACATAACAAAACGTTTTTATTTAAACAATTCACCATATAGATCGTGATCGAAAGAGTTTCGGCCAGCAATAGAAAGTTTGAAAGGCGAGGAATTCGAGTCCGACGAAGTTTTTGAAAGGAATAAGTCGATCGCCATCTACCCTATCGGATTGAAAAAATTCAGCATACATCTACTAGTTACAATTATGAGGAATTCGCAGCGACTACCATACTGGAAATTATTAAGGCCGCTATTTCGTGTGTGCGCACAGTGATTTTTTTTCGGGACTTCGCAATCTCTTTGATTGATGAATCGTTGTCGATGATAGATTTTATGTTGTTACAAGCACCGCTTTTCTTATCTACATTATAATTGAAATTTACAATAATTTGTAAATTATTCAATCAAATAAATTAGTTAATTTTTTGAACTGTTCTAGTTAAAATAATTCGACAAACAAGTTTTCTAGAAACTGGAAATTTGTACAATGTTCCGCAATTGTGTATTCATTTTCAATATATGACACAAATTTTTATGTATCGATGTAAAATGCGCTTAAATTGCAATAGCAGTAACATCGCACTACAATAAAATGCTTTTACTTAATTACTTAGCATAAAATACTTAATTAAGCAATACGAATGAGGATAATATAAAATTGATGTTAATAAATAAATAATCTTCTCGAATATTAATAATTGCAATTTTATTTATATATTGTTGCGCAAGGTTACTTTTACCAATGCAATCTAATTTTTGCTTCTACATATAATAGCGCTCTCATTTATTTTTACTGATTCTTTTAGTGACGTAAAATCGTAAGAAATAAATTGTTTGTTCAGAAAATGTTAATCGTTACATTTACAATTCTCCATTATATTATTCGTGAGATAGAACAGAGGATAGACCAAACTTCTGTCAAATGCGAATTCAATTCTGTATCGTCCAAGTGGTCGATTTGAATCCTTTTCGCAATTCGTATGCTGCCTCGCCGCCGATAAAAACCAGCTTAAAGTTAGGCAGTGTTTGAGGAATATACGTCGCTCGATGAATATATACTGACTGCTTTAACATCACATTCGATATATAAAGGCCCACGGTATATCTATATATTCACATATAAAATCAATCGATTAAATCGTAACGCACGCTTGCGGCGTTAATCGTTCCAATAGACGCTCAAGTTAATTAAACTCCGATTCATTGGATGATATTTGAAAGAAGCGACGAAGAACATATGTTACAATTTTTCCATAGGATTAATTTCCATTACACTCACATTAATTCTCGATATATTCCATTGACGTTTAATAATCATTAATATCGTCGAATCGAATCGTACGATATTATTTCTCTTTATTTGATCTTATCAGCTGATTATTAAGTTAATGAGTCGCTAATTATTGCGCCAACGTAAATTACGGTGCTCCGTCATAACGCACTTGTGAGCATAAGGAGGCTATTGTCGACGTAAATATCTAAAAAGCTTTCTTTCCATTCGCGAGATACACATATATGTATATGAAAAGTTTCGCAAGTTCGAGTTCGGGATAAATCGTGAGTGCGCACACTCTACGATAGAAAAGGACCGTAATGCGAGATATTTGTGTCTGTGACGAGATATGATCGCTCGGATAAATTAACGTAATCGTAGAAAGGAAAAAGGGGACAGGCAGGGAGAGCAAGCTTAGGAATGCATACGCGAAAGCACTCACTATTGCGAGATTTATAACAACGGAGACGAATGTTTCGCTGTAAAGCGAGAAAGAGTCGCGCGTGTGGAAAGATCTCGCATATGCAATCGCGAATACGAATGCACTTCTGAAGTATTATATGCCAAGATCTAAGATTCTTGTCACAAATCTTCACGTTCCATTATTCTGAGTCCGTGAGAGGCTTGAATTTCATTCCACACGCTCACACAAGGGAGCCTTCAAGAGTGAAAGCCTGTGTGATAAAGGATTGATGTGTGTGTACGGAGGTTTTACTTTTTTTTTTTTTTTTTAGAAGCTTAATTAGAATTATATAGTGTATATGAGAGCTTGGAGCTGGCAGTATTGATGTAATCGATTAATCAAAGTACTCAAATATTTTTTGCGTATTTACATTTATAATTTATTAAGTGGCTCGAACATTGTCTGATTTTCTGCTTTGTATAAAATCTTTTAGAAACTATAAAATATTTGTAGGAAAATATAATTTTAATACTCTTGAAAGAGAAACTTATCAAGACGGAGATTATTTGACATTAAATAATTATATAAAATATAAAAAGTTATTATAAAAAGTTTTTAAATTGCTATAAAAATAATTTTATAAATTAATTATTACATATATATATATATATATATATATATATATATATATGTAAAGTTTTAACCAAATTATTTAAGTACAATAATTAAAATAATAAAATCTTTCCAATATATCAGAATATATAATTAATTCGTGTGTAATAAGAGATAAAAAATTGTTCATATTATGCACATATATTTCTTTAACATATGTTTAATAAACGCGCAAACATGTATAAAGATTAAGATCATCAATTGTACGAATGTCCGAGCACATATAGAAACTCGAGCGACCCTGCCGGCTCCATTATTATCACGATTCGAATACATCGTGCTAATATTCTCTGGGAATAATTATCTCGACTTAACAACGTAACATTTCCTTTTATCTTTAACAACAACAGTAACAATATGGTTTCCTCTGATAGCAACGTATTTCTTAAAATTGTCCGGATGACGAAAATTCGTCTCCTAACTCATTCACACACGCATGTCGCACGATAATTAGTAGGTACGGATAATTAATGACTTCATAAGAATGAATGTGATGAAGCGGAATTGATCGTGAGCGTCTCGAGATTCTTGTGTAAGCTATCGAAACACGCTCCGAATTTTATATTCTCCGCATACAACTTGATGTGCATTGCAAGCCTGGAAAACATAATTTTGTATATAATATAAAAGCAAAAATAAATAGTGGAAAATTTGTAATATTGTTATAAATTTCGTTGTACAAATATATTTGAATTTATATTTAACATAATATAAATAATCTGTCTATTTTTGTAAAATTGATGCATAATAATGTATTCAAAAAGTACATTTAAAAATATTTTTTAAGAAATATTTATATAAAATTTCTAATACTAATTGAATAAAATAAAATATTTCTATTTTAATATTTTAATATTTTATTTTTTTAATTAATTAATTATTAGAATTTTATGCAAGTATGAGATATATAATTTAGAAAAATATATTATTCAAAAGTTTTATAATTTAAATCTAGAATTTCAGAAAATTAAAAATCCAGTTGTATAATAATTTATTGCAAATAATAATATCTAATATTTTTTATAAGTACTTCACGTATACATTATTATGATCAAATGAATTTATTTTGTGTACAACGAGAATATTTTATTTAATGGAAAATAACCATATAGCTTGCAATGCATTTTATAATTCATACGAATCATGCAATTATGTACAGCGACATAAGTGGTAAAATCTTAATTCTAATTCTCGAATTCGATGCGCACGTGAAACTCGACTTTGCTCGGGGGATTTGATTCGTCACCTCGAATAATCGTGATTCATTGCGGATTGCCAGGACGTTGTGTCAAAGATCACGACGACATTCTCTCTTTTATTTTTCGAAATATGAAAAATTTACGCAACTCACAAAAATTTACGTATAATAAGTCTTAAAAATATTTGAAAAGGATATAAGAATAATAATTGTTACGAATTGATCGCTGCATATTCGACATATAACTCGTAATTTCAGGCACCGCGTCACAACAGTACAAATAAAATAATTCACATTCACCATTTCGTTTATAACCCAATTCTTCGTTTGTGACCCTTTTGATTTGTTGCATTTGTTGCCTGTATGTATGTATTTTTATTGTTGATTATGATTTGCTTCATATATCTTCTTTCTTCGATTTCAAGTAACGAGTCCTGACACTCCGCGATACGCGCGCATATTGTGGCTCGATTGACCTCATATTTATATATTACTTTTGGTTTGAGCATGTTATGTCTTCCAAGTAGGTTCCTTTTTAGAATATTTCATTGATGATCATATATATACATATATATATATATATATATATATATATATATATGTATATATATGTATATATTTACATATATACATATATGTATATATATCGTACTACATTTATAGTTATATCAACTCATTTACACTAACTTTATTCGATACACATGCTTAGGTATCATGTAAGTATTTCATATATATGGTACACATTGACATTTTCCATCAAGATATCGATTAGTTTTATGTTTTTTTTTGCATTCTTTCGCGTCAACGTCCACGTCGACGATTCAAATCGACATATGACATTTAATTAGAAACTGGCATGAGTTCGTACAAAGTTGAATGTATTCTTTTTAATAGATTTAGGAATTTCATAACTATCTATTGCATTGCTGGTGCCTGAATAAACGTGTACCTTTCCTACCACAAGTTTTACCTTGGTTCCAATTATCATATAATCCTTCATTGCAATTTTTTCATATATATCTCTCACATATTAGCGATTCTTTTAAAAATTATAAATCATTACATATAAAATATAAGTATCAAAATATAAATAATAGGGTAAAAAACATTTGCTTCATATATACATATGTTTAAAAATAAATAGATGTAATACAAAAAAGTTTATAGCGTAAAAATTGATAGAAATTAGAAATTAAAGTACAATCTTGATTTTTTTCTTTATAAAAATTGAAGTTATTTCAAAAAAATTATGACACAAAAATAGATATCCGAAATAATCATAAAAATATATTATAATATTAATTAAAAATAAATAAAGAAATTAGAATTGAAATAAACAAAAGCTTTATAGACAATGCGATGTCTCCCCTAGTAGTTTTTGCTTTGATATTATAGAAATCCTATTGATGAATACCCGTATATAGAATGTATATTTATTTTTTAATTTTGTGGAAATTTTGTTTGCTTTATAATGTTTTTAATTATAAAAATGCATGAATATTTAAAAAAATGAATGAAAACTAACTTGTGTCGATGAAAGATAATCGCGTATCAAAAGATTTCAAGTCTGACTTTGCTTCTATCGAAATGCTTCAACTATACTTCAAGACGCCTGATCGATTAACCAACGCGTCAAGATCTTCGATCGCGAATCGCGTCCAGACGATTTTAGGCACAGGTTGAAATTTCGAAAGGAATCTTTGCACGTAGACACAACTACGTGGGTACGACGCTTCGACATCTATGACACAATTTATCGATTGTGTATTAAAAAAAAAAAAAGAAAAAAGAAAGAAATTCCATCGAATTCGAAGACCCGAAAAATCTGGCTCGACTGTCAAGTACAATTTCGCATCACAAAGATTCAGTAGTTTCTAAAAAACGTTTCTTTCGCAACAATCACTATCGCAAATACAATCGCCATACGCAAATGTATTTGCCATTCAATACACTTACTTCGAAGGATACAAAGGATGCATGTTTCGAGGGCGTTAACGCATATGTCAACACGAGAGTGCACGTCCTCGAATTATAAAACATCTTCGGGTTCGTAGGCTTCATAGTCGCTGGTCGACTCTCGATCATCGACCGCCACTGACGACTTTCCTTCACTCGTTGCTTCGTCACACGTGCGATGACACTAAGAATCGAATATCAGTCGATTAGCCTCTTCGGCCGAAGTTGATGTGGATGGGACTCGTTGTTCGAGGCAGAAACAATAGGACGTGATTCGCGTTAGATCGCATCATTTCTGGAGTCTTCGGAAGCCCGCCAGTCCGTCCACGCGCTTCTACTTCCGGCGCTCGGACGAGTTCCGGATCGGACGACTGAAGGCGATCCTCTTACGATCACAGAACTGTTTCCATTTCGGCGATTTCTGTCCTAGTTGCGTCATCCGGGATCCTACGACAGGCAATAACTCATTCTTGCAAAAAATCTCAAACGAATCTAGTAGAGGGTATCCCAGAACTAGTAGTAAACCTGTTAATGGCAGATTCCTGGGATCATTTGGAGACGATTTTTCCTCAATGAAAATGTCGAGAAATCAATCATTTTTGAGTTACAAGTTGAAAATAACGGGTCTTTCACAAAGCCTTGTGGAAATAAAATATTAACAAAATCACTTTTTTTTATTAATTTCATGTAGACGTTTACTTTAATAAAATTTTAATTTAATTTAATTTATTATTAACAGGTTTATTATTAATTTTGGAACACTTTGTATGTCTTTAAATAATACAATATATGACCCCGCGATTTATTAATAGATAAATACTCAAAAATATATATGTATATATTATACTTACACATCTCTTACATTAATATAATATAATATAAAACTATGTACAAAAATATTTTAAACATTTAAAGAATTATATATAAAAAATAAAAAAAAACGTATGTTTTATAATATCTATACTATATAATGTAGGTATCGCTTATTGAAATTATAAAGAGACGAGATGGAGAATTATATAATATGCACGCAAAAAATGAAAATAATAGAAGCATTGATAGAAAAGATTGCATTAAAAACTTGTTCTATTATATTTTCCATGTAAAATCTGACGCGATCTAAGCGGTGATGCTTTCAACTTAATATTGCATGAATCCTTGTTGTTCTTACCTGTAAATCTCCGTGGGTAAGAACCTCTCGGCATATTCTGTGCTGACCACATGGTTTCTGCTCATGTCCCTTGGACGGGCGACCTCGACGGCGTCGATATACCTGAATATATAAACAATTTCGGATCATGTTATCGTCGTCGTAATACCGTGAAAATCTCCTATACACGTATACAAAATCAACTTTATCATGCTCTTTGTCCTCCACATCCTTGCCTCCGGTCACGGCGCTTTCCCTTAATATCCCCAAAATCAATTTTCTCTCCGCGTCCTCATCTCGTCAGACATTATAGGTAATTAATCGACTAATCGGTACAAGCTGCCTAGCACCAGGTAATTACCTATAATGCACACATTATAGGCCTCGACACGCAGAAGTTATGTATCTACGGACTTCCTCATATAATTCGCATGCCATGCTCTCGAGCACATTAAAGTAAGAAATCCGTGATAATAAGAATAATAAAGAAAGAAAAATAAAGTATGTGAGCGATATAGAGATATATATAATATATAATATATTTGATGCGTATAATTTATGCAAATACGATCTACTAATCTACAGAAGCGAAGCAACTATATCCCTTCTACACCCCTTGTTATTCTGTTTATGCGAATAAGTCTCTCTAGACGAGGCGTGCCATCGTCGATCCGCGTGACGCTCAGCGTCTCTTCATTCTTTTCTGTATATGTGTATGTGTATGCGTGTGTATCTGTACGTTTTTCTTCATTATAGGAAAATAAGTCAACCGAGATCACGCGAGTTTTACGAAACAACAGAGCCTCGCGGGATCGCGCGAATCGTGGCAATATATGTATATCGATGATCGATTTCTTCAACGATCTTTCTCTACATCATCTCAAACCGATGAAGTGCAGTGACGTAGGAACACGTTACTGGATTCAAAAGTGTAAGTGAGTGAGCCAATCGTGTGGTGTGTAATTATATGTACGAAGCTTTAACGCTTTCAATGTTTAAAGTAGCGAAAGAGTGTCTTGCTACAGCTCCCCTACAAGGCAATGCATCAGCAACGCGACATCAATTCTGCAGCAGAGTCTCTGATAGATTGAAAACAGAAATTTTATACATTTTATAAGCTTTACAAGTAGTCGATGTGAGCAAATAAACAACACACATTTAAGTGTTTCTTGTAGGTGATGTTAGATATGTGTATATGTATACAATGTCATTAGTTATCCAAAGACACAAAGCTAACAAGAGTAGCTTTTTTCTTTTTCCTTTCAAACGCAATTTGTAATTTATTAAATATGAAAATTTCGATATTAAGTACATATAGGGAAGAAAACTTGATCGAAGCTTTTAAAGAGTATTTTTCGTGGATAATTCCTACGTCACTGAACATTCTTACGTGTGGTTTGGCGTGGCGGACTTACGAATCGAAGTATGGCGGTAGCGGATGCGGAGCTTCCACCGCCAATGGTTCCGGTTGCGAATAGCGGTCCGAGCTTTGGAAGCACCCTCGCCACCAGCCGAGACTTCCAGTTTTCCTCCTTTAAAAAAGCCGACGTGGATATGTGCCAGGGCTTCCTTCTCACCGTCGTACCACCAATTATTATCGCTTATAACGTCGCCCAAATAAATCCATCCTCGTTCGCTCGAGGCGACAACCCGTATAAAATGCTCCACTTACGTGGAGTGTTTTTCATTCAATTTTCAAACACGACGCACAGATAGATTCACTTGTCACGAAATAAGAATATATAGATTTTCCAATTATGCAGTGAGTATGTGGACACATGTCGCAGAAAAAGAGACGGACAATAAAGAAAAAATCAACTGCGCGTGCTAATTGATACGATATTAACGTACGTAAAGCGTAAAAATATATATACGATGTTATATAATTTACCGAAAGTGAGTAGAAATGACAAAATACGCGTTTTCAATGGAATATCTATGCTATATATGGATATCTCTCTTATATTACAATTTTTCTCATTGCAAAAAGTGTTGGAAATTTCATATATTGCTAAAATGTTAAAATAAATACAAAATATTCGAAGTCTATCACAAATGTACGTGTGTGAATAGAATTTATCAAAAAGTTTTATTATTTGAAAATTTAAGAAGAAGTACATTTCTGAAATATATCTCTCGAAATATCACAATAAAAGTGAAATATTAATACATTAATAATAAAAATATTACAAACAATATGAAAAAGATGTACGATATTAATTCTGTAAATGTATATAAAACCGTTAAAAATAAATCTTTAATCATTCTTTTTATATCCAGACTTTATTCATTTAATATTGCATCATACGTATATCAATCCCATATAGCACGATTCGCAATAATTTTTGGAAAGAAATCCTATCAACAACAAAAACCTTAAAAATGTGATAGGATTTCTACACGATATTAAGAAACGTCGATACGCATTTGTGACGCCCCATCGAAAACGCACGTTTTGCCGTATATATTATTAGACAGGTGCATGCTGTGCGAACAAGACTCCAAGTGACTTTAGAAAGTAGGTTACTACACTTAAGCTCGGTCTGCGAATTATTCATCCTTCGAGATGCGCGGCTTCATCAGCGTTGCTATACCCGTACAACAATAATTTTCGCAATAATTAAACTTTAACATAAATATTTACAAGAAGAACCGAGCGTAAGTTTGTACAAGATATTACGAAAGACAAGTAGAATAACTGTGTGCAACTGCATGCGTAGACTTTTATTACGGGTCCACTTCCGCTTTAAAAAGTAAAACTTTCGGATAAGAGTGTGGAAGGATAAAAAGACTCAAAAGAAAGCTTTCCAGAACAAGGGCTCCTAGTTTCAGAGGATAGGAAACAAGCGACAGCACTCTGCGGAAAGTATCGTTCGTGAAAGCGTAATCCAAAGGATGTGTAAGTCGGTCGGAGGTTTGAACACCGTTCTTTCTCGTGGAAAATTTTGTACTTGATCAAAAATTGGCTCGATTAATCTTTCAATGTCGGCCGCGTTGAATTTAAATTCGCGACCTATTTTTTATATGTACTCTCTTCTGTAAAAAATTTATAGAGATTAAGAGAATATACAAAAAAACTATTTTTTACAATAAATATCACGAAAAATTATGTTTTAATTATTATATATAATTATTACAAATAATTCAAAAAATTATTTTCCCGTAATATTTAAAATAGACTCTCTGTTATCTTCTTAATCATTTTAAATTCTATATAAAGAAAGTATATAATAAAGTTATATCTTTTACAATATTATCTCAGATTGACTTAGGATAAAATTGAGTTTAAAATAGAATTTGATTTAATTTTTGTTGCGCGCTCGTGTGCGTGTATTACGTTACGCGAAAAAGTTATTGCATTCAGATATGCATTATATTGATTTACTTTCATTTTCAATCCAATCTTTCAAAGATAACAGCATTTTTTTATATTCCCGATTGCTATCACAGATTCTCTATATCAATAACTCGTAATACTAAATCTTTATTTTCTCATCATGCAGTCATATTATATATTGATCTAGCAAAAATTCTAGTATTAAAAGATTAATCATATCGGAAAACAATTTCTGTTCAGTAATATAGATTTTTCGATACAAACTTCGAGGCGATTTATCCTCGAAATCTGTGAAATGTTTTTGCTTAAATAAAAAGAAGTAAAACCGATCGAAAACGGCAAGAGAAAATCGCTAAAATAAAATCGCTCACAAAAAAATAATCAGATATTAAGCGATCGAGCGATTGAAGTCAATCGAGAGATACGGTTAATCGTTCGGAAAACAAGTTTCTCTTTGCGAACTGTACGATTTAACTGGTTGTTGATCACCGGTTCCTCGCTTGATCGCATTGCAAATAGCAGGCGTAATCAAGTAGTTTCGTAGTTTGATACACGGAATTAGACTATTAAGGAGAGGGTGGAGCGTACTTGGTCTGAGACGGCTTTATTCCATGGGCCTCGAGATCCTTCTCAAGTTGTCGTATCCTAATCTTGGCCATGTCGAGCTCATGCTTGACCTTCCACAAGTGGGTGTCGCAGATCGGATCCTTGCATCTATGATGCCTCAAGATATCTTGCGCCTCGTATACTGCACCGCGGAAGGTCAAGGATTTTCCCACACTCTGTAAATAAAACGTACCATTTGCTCGCGCGCGTGATTACTTCTTACAAAATTTTCTTCTTAAGGTTTTTTTTCAATTTTCCGGAATATATAAATTTTTCTTCATATTACCGACTAACAAATAATGCGACAAGATGAAAATATGTATAAAAGTTTACTAATATTTGTAGGTAATGTTAAGAATATCTTATACAAATAATTCGAATTGTAAAAAATTGATGTACACACATATGCGATTTTATCTGTAATATTGATAAATTATTATAATTCAGATTCTTTTGTTCAGGAATATATGACTGATAAATAATTATTAATGAAAAATGATCAGATAAGCGATTATATTCTCTGAAAGTATCGTTAAATTTTGATATTTAAATATGCTTCAAATTGCTGTGTACGCAATTTTAATAATAAAGCGATGTATGACCCAGTTCCAGAGATATAGTATAAAAAGATATAGTATAAAAGATATAAGATATAGTACAAAAAATTATAATAAAATTCTCGTATTAAAATCCGTGATGCTTACTAGACTGAAAATAGCGCATGTGCCACCATCGTCGCTTTTTGCCAGATGCTGTCTGATATATTTGAAATACAGATGTTCTAAAAGCAAGAAAACTGCCGCCAGAAGAATACCCATCATCAACAAGAGAAACGCGCTCAAGAATTGCTCTAACGCCAGAGGATCGCTACTTTTCTGTACTTCCTTCCCAGGCTTGCACGTCCCAGTCATCCAGTATCTTCTCAATCGCTCCAAATCCCCTAGAATTGATGAGGTGATGTTGGAACGCAATGATAAATTCGTCAAGAAAATGTATGAAGCTATATTTAGAGAATCATGGAGAAAGACAATTTCTTTAAATGTAAAAATATATTATAAAATCTTTAAAGAAACTTGAAAATCATCCAAATACCGTTTATCTCTATAATCCAACAGCCGTTTGTTAAACATTTGTAGATACTTTGAATTCCTAGAGAATGCGAGACCATATCCTGTCATCGCGTACCATTGCCCGACCGTCAGCAATCGACAATCCTCGTCCTGGGCGACTAAATAGTCTAGGACTGTGCCATCATAAATGAATGCGTCCATTTCTCTGTAAAAGTTATAATAGGATCTTTTTGCCTCATTTAATGCCCGGAAAGATATTATAAATCGGCTTAATATTAAAATCAATGTTGCAGAATTTTTTTAATTCTAGTGCACGTGCACACACACACATCCCTAAGTACATATAGCATTAAATTAGTTAAATGTTCCATTTAAAATGATTTTTTAATCCTATCAATAATTTTACCTGATTTCTTTATTATATAGATATAGACTATTCGATTAACCGGATTTACATACAATATACGAGATTATGAATATATGAATTAAATAAAAATTTTGTTTGAACGTAAATAATTTGTGTAAAATACTTTATATCACGCGCCGAAAATTCTGCATTTATAAAATAAAAATAGTAGTTTAAAAAATTTATTTTATTATTTTAAAATCTTATTTTTTAAAATGATATCTGCATACTAATTATTGTATAAAATTACGAAAGCTTTATAATATTTTTGCCACTTCAATCAGAAATCTAACTACACTGAAAAAAATATTTATGTAAAATTACATGATTAAGCTAGGTTTTTTCCGACCCCAGCATAATCATGCAATACTTACATGGAATTTTCAAGATTAAAAATATTTCACTGAACTTGTAATTACACATAGGAAATGTTAGGAATGTATAAATGCTATAAAATAATGTTATAATAAAATAGATAAATACTTATAAAATAAAATTTTAATAAAAAAATAAATTTAATTTTACATATGATTTTTTTGCATAAAAATGTATTTTACATATATTAAACATATAGAACAAATATTACACTTTAAAAGCAAATGGAAAAAAATTTTCCAGTTCTGAACTAATAATTTCCATGTAAAAGTACATGGATTTTTTTCAGTGTATAGTATTTCAACTAAATCCTTTATGTATCTATTTCTTCTTATTACAATAAATAATTATTGATCGATAATTTTAATTTATTCCCTTTTGAGTCTCAGAAATACGAAAACATCGTCAAATAAACATTGAAAAATGAATTCCAAAATATGTTCGATCACTCACCCACTGATGACTGCTTCGATACCGTCCGTAACGCTGGTCTTGTTGAAGGTGCTCATGTAGTTATGCATCTCTTTAAAATACTTTGCCAGTGTGCTGTCTGTGTGACTCCATGGTATGGTGCCAAATTTGAACATGGGCTTGTGAGAATATGGTTTAGCGAGCCTGTGATCGTCCACGCCGCTGAATTCGTGGAATTCTTCCCGCGTAATCATGAAGGCAGCCAGATTGGCAGTGTAAATGGCGAGAAAGACCACAGCGAATAATGCCCACATGTTCGTCATAAATCTACAGATAATATCGATTTTTTGTTGCGAACGTTGCAAATATTTTATTTTATTTTATTTTGAATCAATAGAGAAAAAGAAATTTTAGAACACATCTTTGTAAATGACAATTTTGCAATTTTTATTTATTAAATTATGTTTTAATGCAGCTATATTTGTATCTTTATAATTATATAGTATATATTAGATAGTTTACTACTTATTTTTAATAACATACACTGTTTAACGAAATTTGTGTTTGCAATTTTTATCCGAAACATAATTTAATTTCAATAAACTACTATCTTTGGTCTTCTAATTGTGACATTCTCCATCGTAGTCTCAAAGGATTGTATTGTATTATTATTTAAATAAAACTTAATTTTAATTAAAGTGTTCAAATTAATTTAAATCCAAATTACAGCGTCGACGAAAACATATCTTATATAAAGTGAATTCAAAATGTGATTTATGAAGCAGTTGGAGTAATTTACATTTTAGAACGGTTGTCGCAAACGAATGTTTGCTTGAAAACATTTTCCCTACATTTATGCGCAGCGACCGATCTCGAATGGGTAAGTGAAGAGGCGGAAGACTAATTTCTCGAGTTCTATCTCGGGTCGATAATTAAAATTCGTCAGGAAAACGACGTCGGGAGCAAGGATCCTTTCACTGACCTGGCTGTAAATCCTCTGGGGGAGTCGATATGGACGGCAGCCTGAAATAATACGGCCCAGACCAGCCAGTACGTGCGGCAGAAGGAAAACCGATGGTTTGTCGATGGATTCTTCTGCGGAGACACATCGATGTCGCATTAAAATGAAAAATATTCTACAGTAATAATAACATAAGCAGAATTTCAAGCTACTTATGTGTATGTATGTTTCGAAAAAAAATTCATTATCGTGTTTTATTTCTCTTATTCCAATAAAAATTTAATTTCATAATCATACAAATACATATTTTGCTTCAACAATATTATATGTAAGAACATAATAATGTTGTATTAAATAACAAATGTGTGTACATGAAATGCGTGCATAATAATAATATATAATAATATATAATACTAAAGAAAAAATAGTAAATAAAAAATATATGAGTTTACATAAAAAATGTGTAGATGAAACAAATTCTTACAAAACTAAAAGTAGTTCTGAAATAAAATATAAAAATGTTCAAATTTATATATGTATACATATATGTGTGTATGTATATATGTGTACATATATATATATATATAATATATATATATATATATATATATAGATAGATAGATAGATATGACATATATTATTTTAATTGTAAATTAGAACTATATACTAATACTATACATATACGATTATTTCAGGTACATGATTTCTCTTCGATTGATAGACACTGAAACATGCATTAAAGTTAATCGTCAATTAAATCGTTTTAATCACATGATATTATATAATATCTGTGCATTGGAAGATAAAAGTGCGAATATACATGACATAAGAAACACATATACATCTGATAAAAAAAGCGAAATAAAAGATACCAGTGTTTGCGCAGCGCCTGAAGGGTTTACCTTCATGTCGAACCAGAGGGCGATGCCCATTCAAAAAGCAATATCATTATCGTCGCGGCATGTATGGCGACAATTCCACCAGCATCCATGAAGCCGTATCAAACGGTTCTGAAAATCGTGTTTAAATACTAAAGTGGAAATTACAACATTAATGTTTATTTTATGCAATATAACAATAGAAATAACACTTGAAAAATTCTGCTTCTGCAAAATATTTTTTCTTTATTTATGCATAAAAAATTTTGTAATAATACTAGTGCGAATATTATATTCTACAATTTATATTTATTTAAAACTATCTATAATAAAAAAATTATTTTAAATGTTATTAATTTGTAAATGTTGTTCTATCATTTTGTCTTTATAATTTTTACCTAGAAATGCGGTGGGAGATATTATTCCTGTCCTTTTCGCTACAACTATAGCGATACCAGTTTCCATATAAGGTACTGTAAAATCGACCACTGCTTCCCTTTCTGAGTTAATCATTAATGAGGTCATCACCATATCCGTCTTCCGGTTGACCAGATCAGCTATAAGCCCATTCCACTTTCCGTTCTGCGCATAATAGTTCATAAATGCTATTTGAGAAATGTGTCAATCAAGAAATAGATTGACTTTTATTTGCGAAATTTTATCGGATTTTAAAAAGATATACTCAAATTAAATATAATTATTTGTAGAATTTTGTAAATAAATTTACGCAATCAATGTGTAAAATAAAATGAAACTGAAAATAATTTCATATTCTTTCTTGTAAAATTGAAACAAATATTTGTTTTCATTATATTGATGTTAATTTAATACATGTCACATTATATTGCAAAGAGATAAATGCAAAACAATGATAATTCTATAACGTGATTGAAATGCATGATAAGCGGAAAATTATGCTTTTAGGCCATTGAAAGTGTTGCTGAACTACATATATGATGAAAATAACTTTTGTATAACGGAAATTAAACGTGTTGAAAGCGCGTTCATGCGTACATTTTATAATCACGGTCATCAATAGCTAGTTCAACGTACGTGTTTGATAAGTTATTATATCATCAGATATAACTTGGCTTTTATACTTCGCAACTAAATATATTATATTTGTAGAGAATGCATGATTTTATCGTTATTCTTTTATATATGACAAATGTATAAATGGACACATTAGACGTACGAAATAATCTGTCACATCTGAATCGTTACTTTTTGGCAATATGTAGTTGTTTCCAAAAAACTTGACAAAACAGAAATATTAAGCGTTTAAGGAGAAGAGATAAGCTCGCCGGGGCAGATGCGGTAAATGCTTCGCGAGAGTTTTCTCGTTGCATTACAAGACACATTTATCTTCCGCGCAATGTAAGTAAGCATTGCCTTTCATGAATTTTGCCCGGACTCACCTCTAAAGTGCCCCACTTGCCATCCTCCACTCTTACGAGCTCGTAAGTGAACCCGATCTCTTCGGAAAACTTTTGTAGCAGATCGATGCAAAATCCGCTACAGCACTGATAAAAGCTCTCATTCTTCTGTGCTGACTGAATATCCATTCTGCAATAAAAATAAACGCTTAGAAATTGTATCCAACGATATATCATATTGATATTATATGTATTTGATAATCAAATTTTTTGGAAAAGAATATAATAACAAAAAAGTCTTTCGAAAGAGTTTTCATATTTTCAATACAGCTCGCACAATGCTACTAAAATAAATATTTTTTAAATAAATATATTTAAAAAATTTTAAAATATAAAAATTTATTGAAGATTAATATTAAAAAGTTTTAAAAAGTCTGATAATTAAAACTTTATAGGAAACTGTGATAATTAAAATAAGAATTTATAAATATACACTAGACATATCTAAAAACATTAATTCAAAAAATAAAAACGTAAATTTAAGAAGGGAAAATTAAAAAGTTATATAAACCTTTGTTATATAATATACTGTCATTTAAAATATAATAATTAATGTAATGATTTAAAAACAAAAGTTCTCACAATATTTAATTGTAAAGTAACGCTATACTGTTTCCATTAAAAAATTTCCATTTTAGTTACATAATAGAAAAAGTTCTATTTAAATAGAGTGCGTTTTCTGCATAAACATTGAGTGACGTATTCAGTAAAGCAACTTTGCATTTTTAAAAAAAAAGAAACATTCCTGAAGTTAGTCAACGTTAATGAGAGATGTCCGGAAAAATTTCCATTTCAACGTCCTGATCTTCCATCCTAAAAAATTTTGCTTTTAATCGTTCTTCTATTCTTTACAATCCTGGTAGACTCTTTATTCCAGTATAAGCAAGGCGCAATTGAATTCACCACGACCGTGCCATCCGAACCAGATGTCGTTGCGGCAAGAACTGACAGCCATTGTTGGCCGTTCTTTTGAGAAAATCGCCCCTCGGAATGAAGTCCTTTCATACATCTGACGGGTTCAACTAACAAGATTCGCTCTGAGAGTAACATTAAATTCTTTTCTGTGCAAAGTCTAAATTATGATTAATGTTGATGCAGAAAGAGCGCAATATTATTAAGATAAACAAAGTGCAAGGAGTGTAAAAATAGGAAAAGACAAACTAAAGAGGTAAATGAATTTCAGTGGCTCTCGTAATGCAGGTGAGTATATGAAGTTTCGTACTTTTTTAAAAAGAAATCAAATATTAAACTTTTGTTATTTATTAATATTTTTAAATATTTTCTTGAAAAATATCAATAGTTTATTACAAATATATTTATTTTATTTTATTTTTTTAGTTTTAAAGTGTAAGGAAGAAAGAAAATAATTTTATAAATCGTGCTCATTAAAGCGAATATGATTTTGCTGACATTGTAAAAAAATTTATAAATCCACATCTACAGAAGATATTTAATTTTGATTGAAATTATTTATCGTTTTAATATTTGATACATAATTATTAAAAATTTTAATCTCATAAAAAAATTCATATATTTCTAATTCACATAATGTTACAATTAAATTTAATTCTAGCATATAGTACATTACACATAAATGTGTGTGTGCGCCATACAAATATATTGATTTTCCAATATTAAATTGCACAAATTGGCGGTGGCAAGTAATAATTGTTTCGAACAGTTATTTCAACGTATTTTATTTGCGGTTGATTGAATGTAACCGATTCCATTGAAGCATTATTTCAAATTGCCGATTAACAGTTTGGTAACATTATTTTAAAAATGCCAAAATCCCTTTAGGTGATATGTATGTATGTATGTAATAAAATAAATTTATATATATCTCTCTCATCCAGTTATATTATTCAAAAATATATTATTCATGTTTATTCAGAAATGTATCGAAGACTTGCTCAAAATTATATCGAAATAATTGATAGAAAGTGATGCTATTTGTTTCAAAATTTTACTAAATAAATATTTGTTAAATTTATAAAATAATTTTATATAAAGAAATAAAAAGACACACATTAATACATAGATTATGCTTGAAAAATAAATCAGAACGATTATTTTATTTTTATCATTTCAATATGTAACATAAAAATAATTAATCTTGATTAATAATAATAATGTTTTTTTGAGATATAAGCTATCCTGCGAGAAAAAAAATAAAAGTTGAATATACCTGATAAAGGATATAACTATCCGTATTCGGCAAATTTTTCCATGTCATTGTTTACGATGTCGAAATGGAATTTTTGCGCTGACACGAACAGAAATATCGGATTCCAATACGTGTAAACAAAATTTTGTATTTTATGCTATCGTTTGTTTTTTTTTATATTATTCTAGGTTTGAGAACTGCATAAGTATACATATATAAATATATAGTATATGTATATCTTTATTTAATTTTTTATTAAAACATATATTATTTTTAAAGAATAATTGTATAATAATTTTAATAGAATTTTAATCAATATAACATAATTAAAACTCGTATTTGTTCACAAAAGATTAGGATATACGTGATAAAAAGATGTCGGACTATAATTGCACTTTACTACTGATGATACCCATCAATGTACAATAAGGTACCCTTTTTTGTCTGGAATGGCAATATTTGTCAAGAAGAAAAAGGTATAAAAAGGGGAGCATCGCGTGCGCAGTAAAGCAGATAGGAAGCAAATATATATTTTGTGACGGGACGGAAGGAAGGGAGAGCAAAAGAGCAGAAGGCGAGGTCCCAATGGAAGCATATGCCGGAATTGCAGGGCGATAAAAATCGAATACGTATTCGTAGGTCAGCTTGGCGATGCCTCCGAAAAGTGTCGTGGCAAAGACACAGTCATAAAGCGGACCCAACGACGTTTATTGCCGCTCTTTTTCTTTTTCTCTCGCAGCGGCACGTATAAAGGACGCTTACAATTTCGTAGAAGAGCGCGCCTGTTACCGAGAAAAATGTAATGTCACATTAAAAGCGAGAGAAGTTCGCGCCAGTAATGCTTTCGACTCCTCAGTTGCAGTCGCGTAATGTGTCGGGTCGTGAGCGCGAACTTACATGTTACTTTTCGTAATTTTGACATTTCTAACATGAGTCTTGGCGATATTACCTAATGTAATATGCGTTATGTTTTGTGAGATAATATTTGATATATATATATATGTGTGTATCAAATAAACCTAAGTGTAGATTAATTTCATTTTATTCTACTCAAAAAGATGCTTTTGCTACATTTGTTGTATATGTTACTAATTAAAGAGAGTTTGCTTAAATAAAATCATAGATTGCATTAGTTTCGTAAAGCTCAATATCTCTTTTAGCAATATAAAAAATTTATAATAATAATTAATTAGATTTTCTAATAAATTATTAATTTGTTATTTTTCATAGCAGTTAGTTAACCAAATTTTATATCTGAGATTTCTAGTAAACACAATATACAAAGAATAGCTTGTTCACATAAAAGCATTCGAAATTATGCATGATTGAACAATGGTAGTTCCGGGTTATGAATTATTTCATATCTTCTATAAGCGAGATCGATAAAGGTGCTTGAACAAATTTTGCTTTGTGTTTTAGCATCAATCAGTAATTGAAGTCAAAGTATCGTAAATAAGTACTTTACCAGAAATATATTGCAATTGATAATTTATAAAAATATAAAATAATTTGTATGTTATATTATAATGCATCTTCTAGTTTTTCATCAAAATTATGCCAACTTTACGGTAATAAAATTATAAGTTCTTTGGAGGATGGAAATGAGTTTCTTGTTTCGTGCACTAATATCCTTTATGATGTAACAATTCGATAATCCTGAAATTTAATATACGCGAGTTGCTACTGTCGACGTGATGATGTTTCTAACATCAAACGTCTCCATATTCCCAATTGTAGTAAATAGTTATATTTTGATGCACTAAAATCTATTAAAATATAATAATTTACCTGTACATCTTTCTAACAATGTGTTAATATTTATTTTCATAAAATAATTAAGTAAATTACTTAGATAATATTTTAAAAGCGAATATAAATTAAAATTTTATGTACAAGAAAAGAGATTTTCCTTATTAATTTTTAAAAGTGGTCTTATATGAGCAAACTCATATTTTTATTAAAACAAATTTTTATTGAAATATATATTGCCTTTATAAAAAATAGTTGATTTAAAAGTAAAATTGAGTTATTTTTATTAAATAAGCATCGTGTGAAAAAATATTGTGCCCGCTTTTACATGTGCTTTCAAAAATAATCATATCGGCAGATTTTATGATCGTTCTTTTTTTTTTTATAACGCCATTTTGCAATGTGCATACTATATTAAATATTATATATTCACCTATAATATTTTCTTTATGAGAGCAAGTAATAAAATAACGAATTTTATAAGCCAACAAAAAATTAAACTATCCCACCACAAATTCAAATGCACTCTCGACTTGTGCAGTGAGTGACGCATGCAACTTCTCCCGCCGGGCGACTAATGAAGTGTACTTAAAGTCACGAACACGTTTGTCTGACAGTAACACGAGACTACTATTGCGATGACGTAATATATAGGGTAACATAGCATGTATATGTCTGTGTGTGTTATGCCAAAACAAACAGTGTTTTGCATTAATCACGAACTTTATCGCGCTTAATTTTAGTTGACGTTCTGACGCTGATATTCCTAGAGGTAACGTGCCAGTTTCATTAACTGCAATTAATATAAAATCGCTCTCGTTTCTAATAATACTCTCCATCCCGTTCTAGGTATTTTCATTGTTCGCGCTTCAATTGTCCTAGTGGCGCAAATGCCACAAAAATACGCTCTAAATCCGCATTTTTGATGCAACGAAAGTGATGTGTCACGATAGATAATCCTCGGTTATCAACTCGAATCCATTCTGCTGTACATATCAGAAACGTGAAAAATGAACGGTGGCTTTTTTGCGACCGATTGACAAACAAATCATTTCTGGAAGATTGAATGACTCTACCATGATATGAGATACCCTCGCGATTAACCTTTTGATTGAGATACTCTTTTTCACGAAATATTTTTCATAAACTGCTGTCACTTATCTTCCATTGAATGATAATAATTTTTAGTAAGAAATTTAAAATTAATAAGATTA